TGGGTGTTATGAAGTATTTCGGAGTGAATGATAGACCGGTAAATATGTATGTTTGTTCTTAGTAAAACAGTCATCTGAAAGAGAACTACTTGCTTAGTTTTGTTTTGACTGATGAAAGATGATTCTTAATAATTTATGACATTTATTGAAATAAAATAAACAAGAGAATAAATATATTCTTTATTGTGTTGTGGAAGAAGCTTCTTCATGACAGGACCAGGAAATAAGCGCGTGATTTTAGAGAGTATATCGTCTGGAAAAGACTTTGGGGTAACCGTGGACCGAAGTACGAACTTTGAATGTTATACAACAACAGGAACACAAGGATAATGTCTAATATAACAACAGGTACACAAGGCTAATGTCATAAACAACAACAGGAACACAAGGATAATGTCATATAAACCAACAGGTATACAAGGCTAATGTCATATTTAACAAGAGGTACATAAGGCTAATGTCATATACAACCACAGGTACACAAGGATAATGTCATATACAACAACAGGAGCACAAGAATAATGTCATATACAACAACAGGAACACAAGGCTAATGTCATATACAACAACAGGTACACAGGACTAACGTCATATACAACAACAGGAACACAAGGATAATGCCATATATACACTAATGTCATATACAACAACAGGTACAAAAGGCTAATGGAATCGTTGGACTCATAAGGAGGAGGACTTTTATTTAATTAAATAAACATTGTTCTGCCAACTATTTAATGCCCTAGTTAGACCATACCACGAATACGAGGCGTGTGTTTGGAATCCACACAAAATATGGGAAATTAAGCTTCTAAAATCGGTACAAAGAAGAAGGCCACACAAGTACTATTAGCATTAAAGTATTTATCCTATGGTGAACGCCTCAGAAAACTAAAACTACAACCTTTAAAATACCACAGGATGCGAGTATTATTTTAGTATTTAAGATTTTTAACAATACATTTCATGAGAGAATTATCTTTGTACCGACATTTCATCAAGAACTCGCGGTCATTCTCAAAATTGAAAGATNCTATTGTGGGTACTTAAATCAAACAGCAATCGAACACACATGGACACCTATTCTCATGGTGGACACGAAAAGTACATATTTGAAACGAGGTCGTGTTGACCGCAATTCATGTTTTGAATCCCTCAATTTCTGTATTTAGAAATCTCCATTTCTTCCCAGCCGGCACTTCAACGTTCATTCATAGTTTGTACAATTCAAAGTACACGCATCCTGATGTCCTCGGTCATTTCCAATAAAATATGTAAATCACAAAAACTATAAAAAGTGTTTTCATATGGAATACACAGGGATTACATAATGTAAAAACTGTCCGTGTTGACGGTTCTATTTTTAGTTTATACCTTAAACTTCAAAAGACAATAAATTATTCAATGATTTAATAACATGATATGTAAGAAAAATCATCAAAGTATACGATATAACTGATTTAGCGCCATGACATACACATAAACTCATTTTTGCCTTTTGGACAGGATGAAAGAATAAAATAATGTCACAAAAAGAAAATATGAAACATAATTTTAGATTAATAAATATTATCATATATGTCGATAATGATTTTAATATCAATAAATATTCTCCATTTTTAGCTCAAGTAAAATTTTAAGAAACAACATTGCGTCCACAAAGAAAATAGATGTGTATTGATATACTATGGAATTTCCACTATCGTGTGTTGCTATGTGACTTTTCTTTTGTGCTCAAATGTTATCTAAATATAGGAAGGTAGTTCATCGAAAGTAAATATAACTTCTATCAGGTTCGATTATCCTGTAATGAACATCCAGAAGAAAAACTAATTACTTTGACTGTATCTATGAGATGAATACAAATTATATTGATACTATGAAGTCCATTTTCTTTTAATGAAGAAGCCAGTTTTACTTGTTACTCAAAATAGCCCCGCGTTCGTGTAATAAACCCCGCGCTGTTCCATCTGTTCGCGGAAGTTACGGGGGAAGTTGATCACCTACTGCTTCACACTAACCATTTCATTACTGGTTAAGTTAAGGAATTTCATTGAAATTAAAGTATTTAATAACTCCAGACTAATGAACACATCTAATATATGGTCGTGCTAGGTTCGACTACGAGTCAGAATCCTAAAAGTGTATATTAATTAGATTAATTAACGGAATTACAAAGTAGAAACAATTGATTTGGCCGATATTAGTCCTAAATGTGTTTCAGTTTTACTCGAAGGAGTTAATGGAATACAAGCCTGAATGTTGTAATTCAAAGCAGAAACAATCTTCTGTCTTGAAATATTGTCTACAAAAACTTCTGGTTGTATGGTTGCTGTATATAGTTACATTTTAATTGTGTAATACATCAGAACCTTTATAAACTGACACAGTTTTAGCACGTACACATGGCAAAGAGGTGGACAGTAAACTCGTTTAGAGTCTGTATAGTTTGCCTCTGTGTGAAAAAAGATGCACAGGATGTGTAAATTATATTCTGCCGGCTCTATGTAAAACATATATAAAAAAGATATCATAAACGTAAAATAGTGTTAGCATCACTCACCAATTACCTCTACGAGTATAATTAAATAAATCAACAAAATAGTTTAGTTTCTGCCTCTTGTAATGTGTCGATTCAGTTTCTGTTATAATATTTTCGTATCAATTCTGGCCTTAATATCATGCCAATTTTGGCACATTCTGGTGTAAATTTGTGTCTGACTAACTTGAACTTGCACCAGTAAAATTAGGTAATTCATACAGTATACCAACAAAAGAGTAACAATGCACCATACAGATGTTTTGTTCTCTTAGAACTCAGCGGTGATGCTAGGGATCATAAGGAGTGAACGCCATATTGGTCTAAACCTTTGTAGAAGCAGACGGTTAGGTGCATAAAACACACAAGTAAAATAAATTTCAGCAAAACAGCTTTGTGCTGGTTACATTAGTACTGGTAAGAAGGTAAGCTATACGTTAAAAATCACTACTATGTGCCTAATGTTTCATTCATTTATTTTTATTTTATGATATCAAGTTACAGGCCAACGTCATGTTCTTCTATAGACGATTTAACTCACAGGCACATTGTGTTTTGTAAGCTAAAATAATATTTCACCTTAATATTACATAACATAACCAATATATCAGTATAAATGTGATATTATATTGTTAACCAACACAGATAAAACCTGTTTAGGACCAGGAGAGTATAATTTGTAACAGGTATGGTTAACACTGACTTAATAGAAACATGTTTAGGACCAGGAGAGTATAATTGGTAACAGGTATGGTTAACACTGATTTAATAGAAACATGTTTAGGACCAGGAGAGTATAATTGGTAACAGGTATGGTTAACACTGATTTAATTGAAACCTGTTTAGGACCAGGAGAGTATAATTGGTAACAGATATGGTTAACACTGACTTAATAGAAACCTGTTTAGGACCAGGAGAGTATAATTGGTAACAGGTATGGTTAACACTGACTTAATAGAAACCTGTTTAGGACCAGGAGAGTATAATTTGTAACAGATATGGTTAACACTGACTTAATAGAAATTCAGAAGTAGAGATAGCTTTTGCGCCATGACATAAACTCGCTTTGCCATTCGGACTTGATGAACTACTAAAACAAAATGTTAAAAAACTAAACAAAAAACAAAAACACCAACCGTATGTAATATAACAACACTGTCATATACAATTATTGATTGTGATGTGCAATATTATTTCTCTGTTTTCAAATCAAGTAAGACATAGGCAACGTTACATACAAAACAAAAATAAAATTGTATAAACAATATCATGAATCCTCTATCGCACGTTGGTATGTTACAATTAGTTTGTTCACACGTGCAATCTAAATATAGGGAGGGAAAATATGAAAAGTAAATATCACATTTCATTTTAAACCATTAGCTTTGTATTTATAAGATTAATGAAACAAATCTCAGCCATATAAAATTCTCATAATATTTGTTTCCTGGGGATTTTCCGTGGTTGTTTTCTGAATATAGGACATGGTTTTCTTGCTACAAAAATAGCCCAGTGTTAGTACTGTTCCATCCTATCACGGAAGTTACAATTGTGAACTATTTCGTCACACATATGATCGTCCGATAGTTACTCACCAACAACCTAGAATTTTTAAAACATTTCATTCATCAGTACTTAACAGAATATCTCGAGCGCTAAGCCATTCGTCTACATTGTGTTACAAGTATACACATTTGAAAGTGATCAGCCCAGACAAATACACACCATGAACGCTAGTAAAATATTGAAACACATGAGCTCAACTACACAGAAAGGCGTGTGTAGATATATCCAAACATTGTAAGTATACCACTCACACTTGTATATACACTGTGTTTATTACGGAAACCATTGTGTGGTATGTATTTGATAATAATCGCGGTTTACGTGTTTCATTTTGAATACAATTAGCTTTTATGTTTCATTTTAAAGTTAAATAAACAAATTGACTTAATATTTTATATAAATATATATCCGACAACACAAACCAATCAAATGATGTCTACGGTGAAATTTCTCCCCAATTAAACTTCCGGCTTTTTCTATTCGTATGATGACTTAATGACTGCGAGTTAATTATGCCAGTAAATACCATATATAATATTTATTCCAAGCGTATAACGAAATCAACACTGTACGAATATAAATTATAAGGGGGAATGAGGTGTACAGTGTATAATCAGTTTAACAATCTCAATTAAATCAATTTCCTGAGGGTTAATGTTTAACGTATTGTTTATCCTTCACATCACCCGTTATTGTACTCCCTGTGATTTACAANAGATAATAAGGGGGAATGAGGTGTACAGTGTATAATCAGTTTAACAATCTCAATTAAATCAATTTCCTGAGGGTTAATGTTTAACGTATTGTTTATCCTTCACATCACCCGTTATTGAACTCCCTGTGATTTACAATGATCTCCGTGTATGTCTTGCATTATTTCAAAGCGTTTTATAGTGTCATGTAGTTTGTATTTTTCTGCACACAGGTCGCCCCTCAATCACCAAGCTATGACTGTCAGGGGGACCACGCCTCCACTAGAAGATATGCTGAGGTTGTGGGGTAAATTACAACAGGACAACCTATCCACCACTCAAACATCACATAACCTAGACACGTTCAATTCAATGGTCTCGGATAAAACGATTAAAGGTATGTTTATACTTCAAATTATTTTACATGATATTGTATTTGGGCTATGTTATGAGTGCTTAATTCGTATATGCACGTAAACTAAAGTATGTTCTGTTAAGTATTATAATAGGTATTGAGAGCAGTTCGTATCAACACTTTTCAACATACAAAATGAAGCTATAGTTCCGATATATCTTGTAGGATGTAAATTAACAAGAGTACCGTTATATAAAGGTACGGTATCTTAATGTAATGGCACCAGAGAAATCGGAGAAATTAGAGGTTAATAATAATTGCTATGCGATATGATATTAAAGCTTAAAAATTGTTGCAAGTGAGAATTGTTTTCATATCCGTGGTTATTAAATCTTTACTGGATTGCATTTAATAGTTTCACCACTTATTATTTCGTTTTAGGAACAAAAGAGTCTGAGATCTTTGGAAAGAGATTGACGTCTGAAAACCCCCGATTGAACCGACAACCAGTTTTCGGAGATCTCATGGTTATTCAAGAACCATCGATGCTGAAACCAACACCAACACTTATACCTATAACCACGAAAAAGTGTTTGCTGCAGTGTCTTAAGCGACAACGTTTTAAAAGGAATGGAGAAAACTTAAAACAATTCTTATTTTAAGCATAGACTAGTAATTGTGGGGGCTGTGGAATAACAGGGAAAAAACCCAAAACAAAAAATCGGCTAGAAGTTGTCAGCGCTTGTCATTGGAGGTATAGAACAATATCAAATAAAATTGTCTGAAATGAGGAAAAAAGTAACACAAATATTAACATGGAGACATTATCTAAAAAAACAATCTCGAAAAGACTGTACGGTATCTCATTACAACGTGTGAGAGCGACGACAAAGCTGTTATATAAATACCATGCTGATCGGTAGAATGATTTTACTGTAGAGAAATTCATTCGAGACACATGCCTATTATCTACATCTGTCGTGATGATGTTGATAAATCCCGGATAAATCCGGCTCCTTTTCCAGAATATTATACAATATCCTGTCGTAAGAAGGATGTTAGAACACTTTACAATAAAATTTATTTTTGTGCACCTAAGCACGCGCTGGTTGTGAGGTCCCAGGATGTAGTGGGTGTGTGATTGTATATTTATACATCATAAATATGTAAGAAGGTTGTAACTTATTTGTCTGGCAGTTCAACAATAATAATTACTGGGGAAAAACTTTATAAATTGTGTATAACTATGAAATTATAATTCTAAATGGGTTAACATTTATGTCAATTGTGTACAATTAGTATGTCACATAATGTAGGATGTGATGAACCAATAGTTTGTTAGTGTTAAAATAAAGTTGTTAAACAGTTGTTTGTAATGTATTCGTCAAACACCATTCCTTTTACTTTGTGTGATGTAATGAATTTTGCATGTGTGATTAAGTATTTCTAAGTGTGTTATATATAACATTGTATGACGGTTGTTTGTTATTTATTTTTCTGAATCCATCATACTTTTTTTTGGTTAGGAATTACGGTATAACTAGTGTGTGGGTGTTATGACGTATTTCGGAGTGAATGATAGACCGGTAAATATGTATGCTTATTCTTAGTAAAACAGTCATCTGAAAGAGAAATACTAGCTTAGTTTTGTTTTGACTGATGAAAGATGATTCTTGATAATTTATGACATTTATTGAAATAAAATAAACCAGAGAATAAACATATTCTTTGTTTGGTTGTGAAAGAAGGTTCTTCATGACAGGACCAGGAAATAAGCGCGGGATTTTAGAGAGTATATCGTCTGGAAAAGACTTTGGGTTAACCGTGGACCGAAGTACGAACTTTGAATGTTATACAACAACAGGAACACAAGGATAATGGCATATATAACAACAGGTACACAAGGCTAATGTCATATACATTAACAGATACACAAGGCTAATGTCATATACAACAACAGGAACACAAGGATAATGTCATAAACAACAACAGGTGCACAAGGAGAATATCATATACAACAACAGATATACAAGGCTAATGGCATATACAACAACAGGCACACAGGACTAATGTCATATACAATAACAGGAACACAAGGCTAATGTCATTTACAACAACAGGTCCACAAGGCTAATGTCATATACAACAACATATATACAAGGCTAATGGCATATACAACAACAGATATACAAGGCTAATGGCATATACATTAACAGATACACAAGACTAATGTCATATATAACATCAGGTACACAAGGCTAATGTCATATACAACAACAGGTACACAGGACTAATGTCATATATATTAACAGGAACACAAGGATAATGTCATATATAACAACAGGTACACAAGGCTAATGTCATATATAACAACAGGTACACAAGGCTAATGTCATATACAACAACAGATACACAAGGCTAATGGCATATACAACAACAGGTATACAAGGATAATGTCATATACAACAACAGGTACACAAGACTAATGGCATATACAACAACAGGTATACAAGGCTAATGTCATATACAACTCATAAGGAGTTTATTTATTTATTTATTTAAATGAAACTATGTTCTGCCAACTATTAAAAGTACTAGTTAGACCGCACATTGAATACGCGCCTTGTGTTTTCAAATTAAATAAAATTGTGCTTCTAGATCTGGTACAAAAAATAGAGCTACACAATTACTGCCAGGATTGAAGAATTTTATCCTATAGTGAACGCCTCAGAATACTAAAACTACCAATTTGAATATGAAACAGCTTCCCATACAGAGTTATAGAGACAACTACAATCCTAGAATTCGAGGTCCATTTTGATGAACACTGGAAAAATATGGATATGAAATATGATCACAAATTTATAAGTTTTAACGTCTATGTAAAAATTGAATGTTAATGTATTATATGTAATATTATTTGTAAAACGAATTAAACATATCATGATGTCCCGTTATTTCCTATAAGACATTTTTTCGACGATGGTTACAAATATTATATATTTATTAACAACTATCGAACACACATGGAATAAACTAATTTTCATGGTGGACACAGAAATTACATCTTTCAAATCAGGTGATGTTGACCGCGATTCATGTTTTAGTTAATACTGACAACTTCCATTTCCGTATTAAGTAATCACAGTTACTTCCCAGCCGACACTTCAACGTTCACACGCATCCTGATGTCCCCAGCAATTTCCAGTAAAATGTGTAAATCAACAACTTTCCCACAGGGATTACATAATGTAAAAACCGTTCTTATTGACGGCTTATTTTTTTAGTTTATTTTGAAAAAATTCCAAAGAAAATTATAAGTCCGTGTTCACCAGAACTTTTCTGTATTTAGAAAAAACAGTTACAAACAACAGGCTCTCTTGGGTACCAACAAATATTCAATTAAAAAATTCAGTTCCAGATTGGTTTTCCCTTCTTACATGTAATTTTTAAAAAAGGTTTTCGGGTCTGATTATGATTTGAAAAAAGCAAGCACGTGCAGATTTGTGATATTGACATTAATCCCACCAAATCATCACCCATGAATAATAAGATCATGTATTACAACTGTTTTGTAGTATTCGATCAATATTTGATTGACATCTTCCCGTTGATATGTTGATATCGCTGTTCAGACTAGACCAAGGGTGAAGAAGCCGAGGTTTTCAATAAAACCTTCCACAGATCTAACAGAAGGGGAGGCCGCGGTAATTGATATTTTCTTTCGTTGTCAATAAACTAAATCATTGGTCGTTATTTCAGAAAAAAAGCACTTATCCGTTAATAATCGTTAATAGGTCTATGTATCTTTCGGGTTTAGACTTGAAATCTTAATATTATTCAGACAGCTGTCTTTACTGACTCGGCACATTGTGGCTAAGTGTGTTGTTTTGAACTCTTTGCTTGGTAAAGGAAACAGACATTTTCGAAAGCTTGCAAAATAAGATTTCAATTGCTGTTTGTGTTCAAATCAAACTCAGAATACATCTGTAGGTCAATATACCTATTCATCCTTTCATTTTCAAAACTTACTTTATTCTGTAGTATAAAAATATCTTTGGATGGAACATATATCATAACAATTAAATATATATGTAAATTGTTATTTGAGTTTTGTTGCACAGCTCCTCAATGTTCAATAAAAAGGTACAGTATTTATACAATAGCGCTAACATTGATAACTTGAAAATGAAATTAAATACGACACAAAGAAAACCAAAACAACAGAAATCCGGGGACACCAAAACAAAACACATTATGACTCCCGATAGAAAACGAAACGAGTTTCGAACAAATATTGTACACCGCTTTAAAAAAAAATGAATGTTTTTATGAATATATCATTTGAACAGGTTTCTGCAAGTTTCAAACTAAATTAAAATATATAAAGGCCAATGATTTATTATGCAAATCACAAGTCTGATTGTAAGTTTCTCACAACAAGATGATCCCCTATTCAGTGACGAATCCGAGGGAATTTTCGGTTCCAAGGGAACTCTTTAGCCTTAGAATTTTCACCACAAATCATCTGTACTTTCCCCGCTTTTCCTGAATGGGAACCCCCCATAAGTTGGGCATCCCTCCAGATACAACTGTAGTTGTATCCTAGGTATTTTAGGCGTTTTTACGCTCGAGGAATTACCGATCTGTCATTTCAGTTCTATAGCCAACATGGATATCTTAAAATGAGATTCAATTTTATTTTAGAGAGATAAAACAAATCTTCGTTGTTTCATTAATTACCTTAGCTTGAATTGAAATCAAGATCATTCTAAAAGTATATTTATTTGGGTCATGATAAGTGAACCTTGTATGATCATCAATACCAAGAGTGAGAATCGGATTTTTCCCTCAAACAGTTGATTAATCAAAATATGACATATCGCCTGAATATAACTTTCTATGATTAAACACTCGGCTATTTAGAACCAGTGGGAAATAAAGTATCATCGCTTCCTTTACTTCCCATTTCACTCATTAATTATAGACAAAAACATGTCACTGTACAGCAAAACACAATTTGTTGTATTTGTAAACAGGGGACATATAATTGCTGTTACAAGTTTTTCGGAAATGTGAGAAAATAGTAAACTTTCTTGGTCAATCACTTCCGATCTGAACCTGAATACATTAGCAGAGTAGTCATCCTACGCTATTGCTGACGTGTGTTACTAATTATACACACCAGTTATTTGCATGTTGTCATGGTTATTTTCTATGTAACGTTTTGATAAAAATAACGAATACATAAATAAAGGGAGTGCACGCTTTTTTTCGCGGAAAAGGCGGATTATACTGTGTGTACAATTAACTTAACATGACATGGACACTCATTTAAGATCCTCTATATATGTTATCTAACAATAACGTAATTATCTTTTTCAGATGTGTTCCATTACACTGTGGAATTACAATAGTATTTCTAAATGATGAATCGGTCTTTGCTTGTAGAGTAATTATGAAATAAGATATATGACGATATTGTGATATTGACGAGAGCACACACTATGATAAAACTTAGAATGTCATAAACATATTGTCAGGTGTTAACTGATACCAATCGTGTAGTATCGCTTGATTAACAGGCAAATAGTTGGTAAGTTTTAACCCCGGAATAGCACAAGTTTGATTTAACAACAAATTCCTCAAAGGATAATGCCATATATAAACTAATGTCATATACAACAACAGGTACAGAAGACTAATGGAATCGTTGGACTCATAAGGAGGACTTTTATTTAATTAAATTAACATTGTTCTGCCAACTATTTAATGCCCTAGTTAGACCATACGACGAATACGAGGCGTGTGTTTGGAATCCACACAAAATATGGGAAATTAAGCTTCTAAAATCGGTACAAAGAAGAAGGCCACACAATTACTATTAGCATTAAAGTATTTATCATATGGTGAACGCCTCAGAAAACTAAAACTACAACCTTTAAAATACCACAGGATGCGAGTATTATTTTAGTATTTAAGATTTTTAACAATACATTTCATGAGAGAATTATCTTTGTACCGATAATTCATCAAGAATTCGCGGTCATTCTCAAAATTTAAAGATAAACCATTGTTTTGTATCAATAATTGGAACAGACATTTCACTCGACAAGAGTTTGTTGTTTGAAGTAAATAACAACAGTTAAATGCAATGTTGTTTTGTGTGTGTTTTGTAAAATATAGCACGATGTATCCTGTGAAGTCCTGTAAATCATGAGAATTAAAAAACATTAAAATAAAACCATAGAACAATTCATTTTTCTATGGTGGGCACTTAAATTNGTGTATTACTACGCAGTGTGATCAGGTTACTATCAGTTCCCACGTGCTGAGATTCTATGAACACCTGTGTTATGCATTTATGAATGTAATTTTTGTCAATGGGTCTAAGCATACAGAATGTAAATATTGTCAGATGTTAACTGATACCAATCGTGTAGTATCGCTTGATTAACAGGCAAATAGTTGGTAAGTTTTAACCCCGGAATAGCACAAGTTGAATTTAACAACAAATTCCTCAAATTTAAGGAGGGTGGGAAGTCTTTAAGTAGTCAATTTGACCTAATTGTTTGAGTTAAATTTTAAAATGTTGCTGAAATCCATAAACGCGTGGATGACCTTTTATCCCCAATCACTACCATTTCAGGAATCCAAAAATTAATTATCGAGCAAATTTTATTCACGACCACGTCATTCGGCTTGACCGACTACTATTGTTGAAGAATTAACATTGAAGAAACAGCAGTTTAATGTTATAGTGATTTAACTGGTTCAAATACAGAGAGTCTACAACAGTGTATCAGCGTGGATATGTCAACTCGACCTTGATGATTCAAGGGACAAACAAATTTGGCAAGTGTTGACACACGTGTGACAGACCGGACGTTGTCAAAACGGGAAGTAAATACGTCTCCTCACGTCATTCTCGTGCGCTATCAGCGCATACGGCAAGTGGAAAGTAAATTACCACTGACAAATGGAAATGTTATTTATACATGCCCGTAGTGTGGCCAAGGAAAAGAAACGGAAACATTGTCATATATTTCATTTAGTTTATTTTGTAATTCTGTTGAGAAAGTAGTCGTTAAGACTTTCTAATGTGATGTCCCCCATAATTTTAACATGTATTTATTATCTTACGAGAATCACAAAAACAAGAACGTGCAAATTCTTTTTATTTTAATTGGTTTGGTCTTTTTTTTAAAACAAATTGGACTGAGTTAAGGGAAGTCTATTTAAGCTTTACTCACTATTCAACTGTAGTCTGATATGGGTCACATCGTTTTAGCAAAGTTAAAGCTGATTGCTTAGATTAAGCAATTGTCCAGTACGTATACTCGCTTAGTGCAAATCGCACAATCAAACTTGAAATTAATGGTAAAACATTTTATTTTTGGTTGAAAATGAAAAAAAGGTTTCAGTGTTTGCGGTATGGCCATAAGGCTATTGAATTGTGCTGTTGGCACGATTCTTGCACCATTGACTATTTTGTCACCCTGGTAAAATACTAGCCGCTTCCTACCGTCTCGGCTAGGGAGTATTGCTCTTTAGCTCATTCGGTAGAGCGTAAGACCAGTAAACCAGAGGTCCCGGGTTCGACTCCTAGCGGAGGCATTGAAAACAAAATGACCTCTGTTACATTGGTGCCCACGTAGGGACCCGGGTAATATTGACAAAAATACTCAGCGATACTTGCAAAGGAATCTCTATGACCCCTGGAAAACTCGGGACAAGTTCTTTCTTAAAGGGGGGGTATGTCACCCTGGTAAAATACTAGCCGCTTCCTACCGTCTCGGCTAGCTCATTTAGCTCATTCGGTAGAGCGTAAGACTAGTAAACCAGAGGTCCCGGGTTCGACTCCTGGCGAAGGCATTGAAAAAATAATGACCTCTGTTACATTTATAATTGTGTAATCCCAACATAGAGGAAAAAGGACAAGGTCACTCGCATCACTGACCGCACTTCCGTCAGAAACTATTGAACAATGACCGTAGTATCCGTGGAGGCACGATAGTCTAGTGGTAGGACGCCCGGCTCGTGACCGAAGGATTGCGTGTTCGAGTTACGTCACGGCAATGTGTTGTATCTTTGAACGAGATACTTTACTCTGCTTGTTTCAGTGTACTCAGCTGTAAATAAGTACGTGGTTGGTAAGTGATAGAATTGTTGAATGCTATATAGTATTTTTATATGAAATACAGATCAATCTTCGTTCTTCATTCACGTTAATTATCTATCTCGGCAAAACCTACCACCAAGATAAAATCGCTCCTTCCATACAAGAGAGTTAACAATTATTTCATACGTGCATAGTTACCTCTCCTGTACCACATCCTTGTAATACTTGCATATGCATAATAATAACAGCTAGCAGTGGGCGCCGAAATGTCAGCAGCGGTTGTATGCTCCCCATGGTGTTGAGAAAGACATTGGCTGGTTGCAAAGGCCCTATAACCACGTAATTTATGAACCACTTTGAGACGACCTACGAACTAAATTGTGATAAAACGGTATATAAAAGCCTCGAATTATTATTATTATTTTAATTAGTGTATCTGGTCTAGGCAATAGTTTGAAAAGTAATCTTATGAAGGTAAGTAGCCACACAGAGCTACAACAGAACGAGTGAATCATAAGTGTCCAGGCAGCCATACAACGTGAATGAAAACATAAGTGTCCAGGCAGCAATACAACTTGAATGAAAACATAAGTGTCCAGGCAGCCATACAACTTGAATGAAAACATAAGTGTCCAGGCAGCCATACAACGTGAACAGATGCAATGTTTATGGAGGCACGTATCTCTAAAATGGTATACGTAGTAAAAACAGTACTATCGACAAAGATTGGATAAAAATACAAAAAAAAAAAAAAATCAGACACGTGCTTTTACGAAATCGATACATAAGGAAATTCATTTGACCTCGTATCGATATTACATCGATATTTCAGTCAGCCGACTAAACAGCTTATCCATTATACCACAAAAGAAAGGGAATATCAATCGGTAGTCATGGCATTAATAAGCTTAATTTTGACAATGCCTAAATAGATTAATTATACATGATTAGGCTCACTAAGTCTTACACAGTCGTGTTGTGTTCATCACTACATTATTAATTATTTAAGATTGGTCGAGTGGCGCGATGGACAACGCACTCAGTTTTTAGTAAGGAATCCAGGGTTCAATTCAACGATCGACCGTGAAAAGGTATTGGGTACTCTACCCAACCACGTGGGTTTCTCCTTGTACTCGGGTTTCCTTCAAACAATGTTTATGTATTATAATATCAAACAGTCCCTACAAAAACACGAGATTCTGTTTCTTGTTATAAACATTCCTATGATATAACCACGTTTTGGAGGGAATACTCATGCGTGCCCAGTTATATCACCCAGGGTGTCATAAATAAGGAAATTGACATGACGTCATGGCAGGGTTACGCTATATTTGAATTTGAATTTGAGTCCCGGTAGCAATATTGCGGACTTGACAGATGAGAAAAACATACACCAAGGTGAGTGCACCTTTGACGTTCAGTAATAGAGACAGTACGCCGAACTTACACTGAATCCTTGAGCTGTTTCGTCCTTCTAGGACTCATGGGTGATGCTACTGGCCATACTATAAGGTTGGAGATCTAAACTACTGTTGAAACAGAGGGTCAGGAGCATAGAACCCTTTTATCTAGATGGTCAAGGAAAACAAGGATTTGCTCGCATTCACTCCTGACAATGTTTATCGAAAATTTCTTTAGATATATAAAAATTTCTTTAGATATATAAAATTTCTTTAGATATATAAAAATTACTTTAGATATATAAAAATTCTTTAGATATATAAAAATTTCTTTAGATATATAAAGATTTCTTTAGATATATGCAAGAATTGTTGAATGTCTTTTGAATGTCAAATATAAACATTTTGTTATCTTTTTGTTAATGTATATTTTCAAAAATGAATACAACAAAGAGATCCTTATGACCTTATTAAAATGTTTGCTATACAGATGTAAGAAGTCTACTTGTGTAGTTCATACAAAATGTATCGCAAAGGGACATCGTGATCAGCAATGGTAATCCAAGCCAAAAGTGTATTTACCATTATTTTGTACACAGTGTGTTTAGTCCTAAGTTTAATATGTAATTGTTTCGGGGTTTTTTAACAAAAGAAGTTTAATGCAAATCTTCTCATCCAATAAGTAAACGAAATATGTATTTAAAAAGGGGGTTTCAAAATATACTGGTGAAGACCACATGTTACTCCTGTAACTTTTGAAGCCCTGATCTCAATGCATAACTTTCCTTTCTTATTCGAATATCAATTTTCTTTTTTTTTTGTTTCCCATGTGGTCTCACATGCTTGTTTTGCAATCTCTTTGGTTACTATGATTTAATTTCTCTGACTCCAGTTTCGATTTTGTCCTCGTATGATTTTGACTTTGTAGATTGTTCGTTTCTGTTTTATTCCAATATATATTTCCATTACAATAATAGAACCTTATCTCCTGGATTACAGACAACAATACCCCTTCCGCCGGAATACAATCAAGGACTCAATAAAGGATTACTGACGCTGTGATGTAGTTCTAATCTACCTTTAACAGTTATTGGAGGTGTTTGAGTGCAGCTTTTCTAAACATAATCATATTTATTTATAAGCACGAGATTTAGAATCTCATATCATTGACATATCGATGATGATCCGGTAACACTAAACACTGTGTCACATTTGATGAACAACATGGCGCTGTCAGTAATGGTGGTAGGGATTTGTCTGTTCACTACAGCACACACATCAGGTATGTAACAAAATTTATCATTTAGTATAGTGGTAGGACGCCGGGCTCGTGACCAAAGGGTTGTGTGTTCGAGTCACGTCGCGACTCTGTGTTGTTTCTTTGAACGAGATAATTTACTTGTTCCAGTCTACTCAGCTATAAATGAGTACGTGGTTGGGCAGTGCAAGAATTGTTGAATGCTAGCTGTGAGCAACGAAATAACAGCACCGGCTGTATGCTCCCCAGAGAGTTGAGAAAGATATTGACTGGTTGCAACGACCCTATAACCACGGATACTAATTTGTGAACCGTTTTGAGACGAACTACGAATTAGGTTGGGATAAAGCGGTATATACGAACCTCGAACTATCATTGTAATCATAATGAACGAGTGAGATATTATATTTATCACATGATTTACTGCGTTAAACTATAGATAAAATCAATAGAAAAACATCAATGTTTTTCTTCACCCTGAACTCATATGATCATGCTATTTTGACATCACAATAAATTCTGATAATAATACAATACAGCATTTGATATAGCGCCCTTGATTTATAAGAATTGTTGCAAAAAAGTGATCCTATTAGGGTGTTGATCCGAATTGTGTACTGCCTCCTTACATTTAAAGTTTACATTCAGAGGGAAGTTTACCGAGGTAACACTTAGGATATAATTACAATAATTACAATAAGTTTATATGATAATACTATTTATTTTTGTTAATGAGCCTAGCGACTAAACAACGACTGGTCTGAGTACATCTTGACTAAATTAAATGAACAGACCACATGGGCTTTGTGAACAATGTTAACTTGCCGAAATATTCACAATTGAAGTTCCAATTTAATCCGCCTTGCTACTTCCAATCGCCATTTTGTAAACAGGGGCATACTCTCGAGCTGATGCGCGTTTGAAAGAGTTTGAAGTATTGCAAAGCTTCTAAACGATCATGCCCATAACATACTCTCTAAGGATGATGTTTTTGATAAATTTATTATCAATAATTTACTATATTTCTTTTTTGTATCACTTTCATTAATTCATAAAAGAACAAATTGATGTTTTCCCTTTCAAACTTTTTTCTTTCAAATGTTAAAACACTTTTTGTTTGAAAAAATGTTCTAGTTTCGAGATTATGATCAAACGTCGTCTCCTACGCAAACATTCAAGAAAATAATATTTATAATGTATTGATATTGTTTCTATTAACTCCTTTATTCTTTAAACTATTAATAAATATCAATATTTTTCAATTGAAAAATTGCATTTTATGACGTAACCGGAAGCGCACTAAATACGAGAACGTGACCCGGAAATACCTCACAACATAATCAGGACAGTAATAATAAACAGACGTTTATCGAACATTAACAGATTAATACCGTATGCATTGAGACACTGATGTGCTAGAATACAACACAAGGTAACACTTGTTTAATCCATTGCTATCACATCAAGTACTAACTGACATTTATGCGAAAATATCAGCATTAAATGTTTGCGATCGCGCAGACCTACACTGTACTTTCGTTTTACAGTTTACATACATTTGTACATGTCGGCATCAACAGTATTCCTTAACTTGTGTCCTTCATCGTGCCGAAGATTATACATAGGCGCATTCGAGGAAAAGTTCGTGATTAAAAGCTTGTGTGTGGTTTTTTTTATCTTAAAATTATCGGATAAAAGCAAAGTGGCATGTTACTTCAAAATACAAGATACAAGAATCATTATTTTACGTTGAATATATGTCATAGTTAACATAAGCTCTCAGGAGCTTGTTATAATAATAATAATAATGATATACAGCATTTGATATAGCGCCCTATCTAGCTAACATAAGCCATTCTAAAGCGCTTTACAGTACATATATATATAATTGATACAATTAGCATATACATAAATCAATACAATTTTTGAGGAATTCGCAGGAGCTGCCTTATCAGGCGCTAACTACTAGTCCTATGCCACCTGGCTTATATCTCCCTTTGTGTGTTTGCCTGCGTGTGTGCTGGGGATGTAATGTGGAAATATTATGCATTCTAACATTGGCGTTATTTACTCAAATGTATAAAGTCGGATTCGAAATAGAAAAACGTGTTTAATGCGGTTATGTTTAGCATCAGCTTGTACTTGATATAGTTGTCGGATTTGAAATAAAATAGAACTGTCTTTGTATATGTTGCTGTGTTTATACATTACAGATAATGGCCCTGAAGAGTTCGTGCTTGGTTTTATGTACAACCCGCCTGCTTCAGAGTCGGACGGTCCCTTAGAAGTTTACGTGACGTCTAGGTCGACATCTGACATTAGAGGCAATGTGTCCTACTCTACAGTGTACCAAACCTTTATCCTTTATCCTTTAACGAGCTTACGCATTGACATAAGTGTGTTACTAGTCATGATGCAAAAATACCAATCGAGAGGCCAGAAGGGTGTCGTTGTAAACACTGATAGGAAGGATGTGAACGTTGTTTGTCTGACGAAACAGAACGGTTCATCGGATGGATTCATGTCCATTCCTACCAGCAATCTGGGTCAGGTCTACCGCGCATGCGTATATTTTCCCTTTTCAAGAAAATCCCAGATAGCTGTGATCGGAGTTAAAAACAATACATCTGTTGTAATTACACTTTCTGCCAATGCAAACGCTTCTGGCGCTCAATTTGGGCCCTTGGTTTACAATCCCGGCGATTCTATTAGCGCAACGATAAATAGACTTGAGGTCATCGCGGTGCAGAGCACAGGTGACCTTTCGGGGTCACGCGTGACAGCTGACCAAAAAGTCGTTTTCTACAGTGGAAACAGCAATACCGAAGTGAATGGCGCAGGGCCTGGTCACCTTGTGGAACAACTGGTCCCGGTAAATCAGTGGGGGACGAAGTTCATTGTTCCCTCTACCTTACCGAACGGAACAGTAACAGTGAAAGTGATATCGGACACGACTTGTCCGACAGCAGTAATCGCTAAAATTTGTACGCATTTCTTCGCGGCTTCATATGAATATTTTGTCCTAAAATCTATCTTAACTTTTGAAATACAATATCAATACAACTGCTTCTTTAGCTCGGATGAACCGGTGATGATGGTGATGTATGTTGCGATGAGCAACACCACGAAGGACCCCACCATGACAATTATACCTGACGTCGAACATTTTGATGATACCTACGCGTTCGAAGCTCCGCCAACAAAACGGAACAGTCCAGCTTTAGAGATTGTTCTTGTGTTGGTTGTGAAAGAGGAACATAAAGACAGCTTATTGCTGTCTGGTAACAGCTTCTCAGACAGTTTAACATTTGACAGTGTCCTTGACACTAGTTTCGTTGTCGGGATTACTACTATATCCACCGGTTACCATACCCTACAGGCCAGTGGCGACTTTCTGGCTATTATCTTTGGTATTGATGTTGGCGAGAGTTACAGTTTCCCTCTCGGTATGGACTTTGATGATCCCGGACAGGTAAGAATTATTAATGCTTCAAATAATATCAGTAAAACAACAGTAAGAAGTGTATATAACAGATTGCCCAATAACAGTTTACTTACTGGCCTGTCACATAAAATGATTTATTAACCGAGTTGAAAACGTCTTACAGTTTTTTTTTATAAATACCAAATAAACTGATCCTCTGTGTGACCTGTCAGTTCATAAATCTCCTTATTGCACTTCTTTTGCTGTTTTTTTTTTATCATTAAAGAAAAAATGTTAAGTCGAAAGACGTGACATGTTAGAAGACGTTTTGTTTAGCATTATAATAGTGTTAATCAACCCCGAGTTCGGGTATGAATTGGAAAATGCTTAGCAGGTGTTTACATTTATGCTACTATGTTTTAACGTAGAATGTAGATAACTATTCGTCTTTAACTGAAACATTCAATCAGCCAACCGGTCAATCAATCAACCAATCAATTATGATAAGTAAGTATGTGGTGATTATGTTTTAAATACTTTGTTTTGTTTTTCACACCAAGGTCTTGCCGATGTCGACTACAATTCCGGGCTGTTCAGAGTTGCCACCGACAACTTTTCTACCAGTAACCGGAGATTCACTTACTACGACAGACGATGTCGGAGAAACATCATGGACGGGGCATTCTTCGAGCGACTTGAATTCAGCAGCTGTTGCTTCTACCGAACCCTCAACCACATTGAAAGTTACAGACTCAACAATGAGAGCTACAGCCCAAACCTATAAAACTACAGAGATTATAACCACAGACGAAACAACCACTTTTCCGACATTGAAAGTTACAGAATCAACAATAAATCCTACAGAGCCAACATATAAAACAACCTCTTTTAAAAACACTACACAGATGCCTCCTGTTCAAAATGTGACAAACGCTTCGACCAAACCTATCACATCAACTGATATCAGCGCTAGCTCTTCCACAGTCGTGCAAGAGTCTACTACAGGACTAACGGAGTCAACTATAGAAAAACGTGAATCTACTACAGAACCAACAACAGTGCAACTTGGGTTAAGTACAACGATACCCTCACATAGTATAGGACGATCAACGCCCACTTTAGCGCTACTCGAATTTATCACAACATCAACTAAGTCTACGACAGGTATTTCTGAAATACAAGTTTCCACGACAGCAATACAAGTTTCCACGACAGAAATACAAGTTTCCACGACAGAAATATTAGACTCCACTTAAAAGGTTTCCTCATCTGCTACAGACGATACCGTCAGTGACGTATCAACACCATATGCATCCAAAATTGCCGAAACAACGACCCCAAAGAATAATATCACGTGTCCACGGTCTTGTATTGTTTGCGAAACAATTTCAAACAGTAACGATGGAATGACAACAAATATAATAGGTCTGGAGAGGGTAAACAGGAAACACACTTCTAGGTACAAACGAACATTGATATCAGCATCAGACGACCGCTTATCGGTCATGATAACAAGATCAGTCGGAGGCGCCATCTTAGTAGGTCTGTTTCTGGGAATAGTGGCTTTGGACCTCGACAACATCATTAACATGGTAGGGATATTTAGAGGAACGGTCAAAGCCCGACAAATGCTTCATCGGGGTTCAAACAAGAAAAAGAAAATTGATGTTAATTGGTGTTAGTGACATAAACTGTACAGCTTAAAGATATTTTGTAACGTGCGATATTTATCTATATTGGAAAACAAATGTGGTTATTTGTACACCTGTCAGATGGACTCTTAGCAGATTTTAATACAAAATACAAATTTTGAGACATTTCAATATCTATAATATCACTACAGAACAGCGTGAAGTGAAACACAGCTTTAAATGATAATAGTATAGATAATTCTTTGTCAGCTTGAAATGATAGATGATATAGATGTAACTTTGTCAGCATGAAATGATAGATAACATAGATTGACAAAGATAAATATTTGTCAGCTTGAAATGATAGATGATATAGATAAATCTTTATCAGCTTGAAATGTTAGATGATATAGATAAATCTTTGTAAGCTTGAAATATTTTCATTTAAGGATTCCTGTCCCTCTGTAGGCAAAACACAAGATAACACGATTGTTCGTTTTCACGCGAACAGTAACCCCTGTCTTGATTTTGTTTTGAATTTAATTGTAGCGCAACCGGTCCTGATTACTACAGCTGACAAGGTAGCACAGTAGGTTAGAGCGAAGGTATAATGACATGATGCCAAGGGTTTGAATCCTACTCGGGTTATATTTGGTCGTCAGTTGGTGCAGTGGTTAGCCGCTCACATTTTACCTAGACGGCGGGGGTTCAAAAATAAGACCGGACGTACTCTGGTTTCCTTCGCCATTGAGAACCTCTAAGAGTCCGTTTTGGCAAACAAGAATGGGTGATATACGTTGGGAAAAACTTTTATAATTATTGTAAGATAAGTAAAATTTATACTTTGAAAGTGGTTATCAATTTTATGAATTTACGAATAAGAAGAGTTCTGGTAAATCTAATACCATGAGTAAAGTGTGTATACTATGAACCTTGCAAATATTCACAATTGAAAAGTTTGGCTTTCAAAGTTACGGCAAACCTCGGGGCTGTGATTACACCAGCAGAGTCTACCACCATGTGTATTGAAAGATGAAAATAACAAACACATGTGTGATTGTACTTTTAAAATTTAGTAAAATATTCAGTTATCAAAAGATTTTCAAATGTATCAATATATCATTTGCATTATACAACCGGGTGTAACTGCATTCCACAAGCATGATTGACTTTCGGCGAAATGTGTTCATCTTATAGTTATTAGTAAGACTGAGATCATTGTCAATGCTGATAAGAAATATCGTCCCTTGTCAGGGAGTTAAGTCCGTGTTTATAGATACTCCTCTCGGTCATGAAACATACACTCTTCAGTCCAAAGACTCCAAACTGAAGTCAGACAGAGCCTTCGGGAATAGGAAAGCAGTGTAACATAAGTAGGTCACTGTGACCTCAATGTAATCCAATTATGTTAGTCAACACCCTGGGAGGGTCAGTGCAGTGTCTGCTACATGGACCTCCGTCGACCACCGACGGGTCATTTTATGGTACTGCATCCATCAAAAGTAAAGTATACGAATGCTTAGATCAAGTTTGACTTTCAGCAAAATCTGTGCATAATTTATTAGAATGATTCATAAGGACCAGTACACTACAGTTTTTTGTGTCTTACGAGGTACTTAGGTCTAAACAAGTGATCGATTGGATTGATCACGGTCATCGTCTAGGATTTAATCTGTTATCCTGGAATATAATTTCATTTTGTATTCTGGATAGTAATGTTAATTCTAATACTAATGATCATCATCTAGGATTTAATCGGTTATCCTGGAATATAATTTCATTCGTGTATTCTGGATAGTAATGTTAATTATAATACTAATGATCATCGTCTAGGATTTAATCTGTTATCCTCGAATATAATTTCATTCGTGTATTCTGGATAGTAATGTTAATTCTAATACTAATGATCATCGTCTAGGATTTAATCGGTTATCCTGGAATATAATTTCATTCGTGTATTCTGGGTAGTAATGTTAATTATAATACTAATGATCATCGTCTAGGATTTAATCTGTTATCCTCGAATATAATTTCATTCGTGAATTCTGGGTAGTAATGTTAATTATAATACTAATGATCATCGTCTAGGATTTAATCTGTTATTCTGGAATATAATTTCATTCGTGTATTCTGGATAGTAATGATAATTCTTATACTAATGAACTGCTTATACCAACGTCATTATTACCGTTTGTATCATTATAACAAATGAATTTCGTCAAAATTTATATTTAGTTTTTTTCATCCTCCAGGAATTTGTCGTATTATTAAAATGTGCTTTTGTTGTCAGTGTTCATAGAACTATAGCGTAAGAGGGTACATGGTAGTTTATCGTAACTTTTGAATAATTATAATCTTTCATTTTTATGAAGCATTATTGCTTAAGGTTTCCGTACAGTTTCAAATCTTTGTGAGAATCCATGTTACTTTGTGTTAGCGGATAAGTGATACTGTGTTTGCAGGCGTGTGGTGCTATGTTGTTGTGGGTTCGTGGTGCAATGTTTTTGTGAGGGTTCAATGTACCAGGCTTTTGTTGCTGTTTTTAAAAATGAAATATCTTCTATTTTTAAAATGTTTCAATAATCGGATGTCACTAAAATATTAGTTGTTATTGTACAATAAAAGAGAATTAGAACACCATATTCTTTTTATTGTTTATGATTTGATGAGTGTTGAGGAAATGTAGAAAAAAACAAATAAATACCTCAAGTTCATTGCATTGAAATAAAATCAAAATTTAGATATGTATACATTTTTATATTTTTTATTTCTACAATTATTATGAACCTAGCTATATTAGCTTATAATTATCGTGCAGGTGATCGGCATGTAGGGTCATTAATGGTGGGGGAAAAGGGAGTACCTGGAGATAACCAGTGTAGTCATTCAGGGTGACACCATACTTCTCCACGTCAGATCGGAGAATGAAGCTCCTGTCATCTTGTGTTATCCACTGAGCCACCCGACTGACCGATACGAAAGGAAGGAAAAGAGGATAAAATAATACTGTATATTTTGATTTAAATTATTGTTTTGTTCAAAAGAGTATTTCAAGAAGATTTGAATATCTAAAGGAATAATAACAGTACTACGATAAAAGAATGTTTTTCGAATATCATAAAAACTGTATTCTCAAAGAAGTGTTCTGCTAAGGGTCAACTCTAGTTAAACCCTCATTTAATTTTCGTTCAGCTCTCGTTGTGATGCTATTTGAGAAATCCACCAATGCGTACATTATGAAGTGATTTTGAAATGTCGGTGAATTATGTAAATTGCCTTTCCAAGTCAAAGTTAAATCTCACATTGTTTGAACGATATCAATTTGTTTTGTATCCTAATTTCAGTCTTTGTATTCAAAAATTATAGTTTGTATAACTTCAGAACTCAAACATTACATTATTTTTGAACGTGGAATGTTTAACTCTTACCATAAGAGATATATTGCTTGTTGGGACGACTGATTCGCCCGTTGTCAGTATAATGTGACCGGCTGGGGTGTCCTGCTGGGTGTCTTTGGCAGTATGTTTCAGGGAGGTAGCACTATAAAGTCGGCATCAGTTCCGCGCTATCACAAGAAGACAAACACGAACATATCGCAGCCTCCCAAAACACACACGCATACACTACACGCATGCATCTTGCACACAGGGGAGGCCGTCCTTAAACGACCATTGCTGTTGCTGTTGATAGGACGTTAAACAATATTAAACCAAACCAAACCTTTCTCACGACGTTTCGTATTGTAATAGTTTACGATGCGTTGTAACAACACTAAGTTATTGTGCGACACGTGTAATTCATCACGTGTTGTGTCATTAGGTTTTAACACTGAAACAGTCATTCTGTGGCACGAGTTACTTCAAAAAGACTCATATATTGCATAAAATTCATATTTGATACAGTCAGAGCGTAAAGAACATTACTAACCGAACACAGTTACTGCTAACATACATTTCTTTATTTAAATGTGTTTTGTGTGCAAAAACCTAGTGAAATAAAACATCATACAACAAGTTTTCATGTTTTAATTTTTTAATTTTGCTAAAGCAGCGTTCGACACGGATCATTACAAAACAACATATTTATTACTTTGTTTGGCTGAGACTTTCAACGTGAAAGTTAGTGGTTTTCAGTGTGGAGAAGTTTCACGTTT